CACATTAAGTAATCATACTTGGGAATTAGTTAATCTTACTCTAGGGAACAAACTGTCGGGTTCCAAGTGAATTTTCAAGAAGAAAATAAAAGATGATGGCACTATTAACATGTATAAGGCAAGAGTTGTTATAAAAGGGTATAGACAATGAGAAGGTCTTTACTATTTTGGCACATACTCGTCGATTACGAGTATTACGTATATATGGATGTTAGTAGTATTGTCTATAGTGTATGATCTTGAAATCCATCAAATGGATGTGAAGACAACTTCTTAAATTGAGATTTGATGAAAGAAATCTATATGGAACAACCTGAAGGGTTTGTGGTTCTTGAAAAAGAAAAAAAGGTGTGCAGATTTGTTAAGTCTCTTTATGGACTAAAATAAGTACCCAAACAATGACATGCGAAATTTGATCAAATGATATTGATTTTAAAATTAACGAGTGTAAACAAATATTTTTATTAAGAATACTCTAAATCGTATAGTCATTGTTTGTTTATATGTGGACGATATATTGATAACGAATAACAGAAAAGGCACATAGAATATGTGAAATGTGGGGGAGTTAGCTTATGCATGACAAAAGCCAATGTTAGATGCAATATCTATATTATCTATAAGAACTAGATGATATGATTTTTGTACCCCACAAATGCTTAGTGGATATTACTATGATAGTCGGTGAATTTATTACTTGTTATGTCTTAGTGATGACTAGTGATGAAACTACCAATTCGAAAGTTGTTTACGTGCCTTTCTACAAAGTTTATGTTCTTTCTTGAATATTTATAATGTTTAGCTCTTTTATGAAAGGGTGTCACTTGGAAGCAAAGGTGGCTCATCAATATTAGTGGCCTAAAACCAAATTTTACTAAGAGAACTTAAATTTAGTGGTTTTTTATTTTATTCCGTAATTGTTTATCTTGTAGTATTCTTACTAGACATAAAGTTTTTAACTTCACATGGTAATACTATTATTTATATTGGTAATGATTAATTTATGTTAATAAAATATTAGCCATGTGTATGCAATATATCACCTTGAATTTTGTTGTAAAAAACTTTATTACTAATAAAGATTTGAATAATTTAATTCAAAGCTATAAAATATTTTTACTATTAAAAAATAGATAACAAGTGTGGTCAGACCCCATTTGTGAAAATCACTGGGTTTATTATTGTTGTTGTTGTTGTTGTAATATTGTATTCTTTTTATCTTTTTTATAAAAACAATTATACCTTCTTTTACAAATTACAATTTTATCTTAAGAGAAGATATTATTATGTATTCCACTATTAATATTTTTTTTGGCATCAAAATTTTGGGGGTCTAAAGCAAAAACTTTACTAGCCCCCTCCCCTGAGCCACCAATGCTTGAAAGGTTGTAACTTTACATGAAAAAATGTGTCTACATTTTTGTATAGACATACCATTCACGAATATATGTATATTGTTCTATAATACGGTGAACCAATCGATGAAAATGATAAAAATTCATAACAAGTTGCATTTGCTTCATGAATAAATGTTCTATAATTTACATATCATATAGACTTCTATTCTATCACAAAACAAGAATAAATAGCATGAAATTTCTAGAAAAGGCGGAATGCCTGTGAAATGTGTTAAATATTAAAATGTTGTGGCCACAACCGATGCCAACCATTCCAATTGTTGTTATAATATAATATTGCTACATTAAGTCTAGTCAATAATCTGATATGCAATTGAAAGTCGAGATGTATTAGTCTATGACATAGGAAAGTTTGCATTGAAATGTCACGACAATGAAACGAGTCTTGAGATATTTGAAATATACTCAAAATATGCTTTGTACTACAATAAGTATCATGAGGTAATTGAGGGATATAGTGATGCAAATTACATTGCCGGTTTGATTGTTTCTAAATCCACAAGTGGATATATTTCATAGTCAGTGGATCAGTGGTGTCGTAGAAATCATCCAAATAAACGTGCATTGCCCGCTCTACAGTGGATGCTAAGTTAATAGCCTTAAATAAGGTCGGTAAAGAAGCAGAATGGCTTCGGAATTTCTTGAAGATATTTTATTTTTGTCTAAATCATTGGCACATCTATGCATATATTGTGATAGTCAAGTGGCAATAGGAAGAGTTGAGAGCGTTATTCAACAGAAAATCTCATCATATATGATGAAAATATAAAACTGTGAGACAACTACTCTCTAGAAAAATTATCATAATTGACTATATAAAGTCAAGTGATAATGTGTTGGATCACTTACAAAAGGCCTAGCTAGAGAGGTAGTTGAAAGATCATTGAGGGGAATGTGACGATAGACTAGGACAAGTCATTGTGGTGGTAACTCTATTTAGAAGACTGGAGATCCCAAGATCTAGGTTGAAGGAGATCAAACAAAGTCATTAATGACAATTCAACATTTTCAAATAAATTTTTTTTGGTTCATTCTCGTGATGAAACAATGTTCAGTACCAAGGATAAAGCGTTAAGGCTTTTTAGTGGTTTTTAAGTTTGATACATGGTATATCAAATAGTATATCTATGTGATAACATGGTTAGGAATCACCTATATAAGTGTAAAATATTAGCCATTTCAAGAAGAATTCCGTAAGGCCAATTCTCTATGCACTTATGAAATTAGGCGGTGTTCATGACTGAAACGAACACAATAATGAGAAGCAAAGAAGGTTAAGGGTTGATTGTATGATGTATGGTTGTTTAGGTATACACTAAATCTCGATGGTTTAAAGATATCAAATCTATCGATTGACCAAGTATATCCGACATATGTCCACTACGAAAAGTTCAAAGGGAAACATACTTATCCAGATGTGATTAATCCTTACTTGTGAATCATACAAATTTTTGCATGTTTTTAAACATATTGCCATTTCCCATTCATGTGGTGGATTGCTGGATTTTTTTCTTAAAGGATATGAATGAGAAATAAAAGAGGCACATTTTGGATTGCACCTCTCGGTCTTACCCTTTCATTCTCTATAAATTTAGAGGTTTGACCTTATTTTTTATATACAAAAAAAATCTGAAAACTTTCATTCTCTACATATTATTTTTTCCAAAAGAAAACATAAGTGTCAGGTATGATTTGTTCCGTTTGTTGAGTTCGCTGAAATTCTATAATTTCTATTGGCAGTATTACATAGTAGTTGTTTTATTTTATCTTGGGAGGAATTAATCCAACAACCTTGGGCAACAGTAAGAAAATTAAATTCCTTAAAAAAAATGCAGTCTTCTATTAGGCTCAGAACTTTTATTTCTGTTTTGTTTATTGAACTAATGTTTCCTTGCTTCTCTAATTTTCTAGTTTTGAACACAGTTTCACTAACAGTTTACATGAAAAACTTTCTTACTATTAGTGGTGGCAAAATGGTTAAAAGAAAATAGTTAACCACCTATATTATCTACTACAAAATGGGTTGGATAATGAATTTTTTAAAAATGGGTCAAATATGAATAAAAACCATATTATCCATTTTCTAAATAGATAACTATTGGGTTTAACTTTTACATTTGTAAAACCTCAAATTGGGGATTCCTCAAATTTGGGAGAATAAGAATTCTCCCAAAATGATCATATTCAAGAAGTCATGGATAATATGGTTATCCATATTATCCGCCGATTAACCCGTTTTTTATCCGTATTAAATATGGGTCGGATCGGATAATTTATCCATTTTTTTATTACCCATTTTTGATCCGTTCCATATCCGATCCGACCCGTTCGTTTGCCACCCAGTCTAGTATTATTAATTACATAATGGTGCCCAAACATCATCGTGAAAACGTGAATCAATGATGTGTCAAATTGGAGGACTGAAATTGCAGAAGAAAAAGAATATGAAAGACGAGTAGCCAACCTTTGGAGACATGAGAGAACAAAAGGCCACAAGGTCATTCACGTAAAAAGACAAATTGGATCTTACATTTCCTTCCATTTGACCCAATTTAAAGAGCCTTATCATTTTAATTTTTAGCCCTTAATTAAAGAAGGGCCAACTATACTTATCTATAAGAGAAAATCTGATTTTTTGTCTGCACAGTTGCCTCACTCCATCCATTTTCATCATCGCCTTCTCATAGAGCATATCAATTATCAGCCAATCAATTGAAACTGAAATTTAAAAATATATCATGTGGGAGAAAAGCACTAAGGATTGTGGACCTTGGGATGAATATAAATAATTTTCTGTTCTTAAGTTCTAAGCTATGTGAATGAAAATTCTAATAGGGAGTATTTCCTTTTTTAATGAGCTTTATGCGGTACATATTCGAGTCAGTTCCCTACACGCATAATGAAACCGAGTGAAAAACAAAAAAAAAATATGAGGATAAATTTATTTTCAACTTATTTTTTCTAATAATTACTTCACCCTTTTGTTTCATGACACTGTTATAATTTAAAGAAGTGGATATTTTTTATAACGTTTTATATAAATATTTCGTAAATTATTTTATAAATATTGTGGCTTAACTTTTGTAGTTTCAAAGGATACAAAGTTATTTAAAGAAAACTTATCGGATACATTTTTCATAAAACCGTAACGGATGATCTTGGGAATTTATATAATAATTAAATTGTTTAATTATAGTTGACACGGAGATAGTTAAATTTGAAACCTTTTTCTTGTAAAAAAACGAGGCGAGGGGATGAGAATATTATCCAATATTCTTTTAAAGGATTTTGGCAACATCTCTGTACGCATTATGTTTAATTAATGCAAGTTATCTTTCCGACAAATAAAAAAAAAGAAAGTAAAAGTTGCATTTCTTTTGAAAAAAAATACAAGCCGATACAGTGCTTTAAAGAATCTGATACCCACCTCCCATTGGTACTACCCACTTTACAGGGCAATATAGTCAGCTATTTATTAGTTGGATGAAAATTCCTCGATGGCTGGACTGTAATATCGTAAGATTACGGGGGCAAATATGTCAGTGCAGCTTGTATAAATACCCGATTGTTTCCTCTCCATTCCTACTTCCTCTCACGAGAATCCTGTGAATTCTTATCCACTCACGCGAATTTGGTTCTTGCGCCACAGTTTTCTAGGGTTTCTCTCTTTTTCTGATTTAACAATCATATATTCCCTGTAAGTATTCTCAAAAGATTCTCATCTCTAATCTCTGTTGTGTTAATATTTTTGTTGAATTTGTTTTCTGATTCGTTTGTTTCGTTGATGTAGGATTATTGGAGGTTGATTTTAATTTATTCGGTGATAAGACAGATTTAAACAAATTCATAAAGTTTGATATCGTAAGTATTCTATTTATTCTTTTTTAATCGTTCCTCTTGTTGTCTCAATTGTAAGTAATCTGTTACGTATTTTCATTCTTTTTCTTTGTCTTTTATTTACCTTAGAGATTTTTCTGGAACGATAGACTATACTGTTGTATGTGTTAGGCCCTGTGTGTGTATTTTTAGATAGAATGGATGATTTAAATGCTTTGAGATCTGCAACATTTATTTGATCCTTTTGCAGTTATAGATTTTGATTTTAGGAGTCACTATATTTTTTAGGTTAATTTTCATGTAGAGAATATGCATATAATTGATTAAAAGAAATTGTTGGGTGTGGGGTGTGTATATGGTTTGAGTATATACTCTTAATTGGATTATTTTTTCACTTCTACATAATGAATAACTAAATTTTAGATTGATACAACAGTTTTTGGTTTTTAAGGATCAACAAATGGTTCTCTTTATGGTTTGAATTTCCTTAATTTCTAATATTTTGAAATTCCAATTGACGCCATTTGCTATTATGTACTCTCTCCATTCCACTTTTATGTAGCATTTCTTTTTAAAGAGAACACAGTTTAGGGAAGTAAATTTTAAATGTTATGTCATGTTTAGACCACATGTTTTAAAGTCTTCCGTTCTTTCTTAAACTCCATGGCTAGTCAAACTATGCCCCATAAATTGAAATGGAAGGAGTAATGCTTTTGATAGAGGTTGTGAAAAGCTAGAGATCATGATGTACATATTGTTTAAATAACTTCAATATTTCCAAGTGGACTTTCTAAAAGCTTTTGCAGAAAAATAAAATAGAGATGGAATAAGAAATAATAATGGGCTAAATAATAAGGAAATGGAGTGTAGATTTTCAAGTTATTGATCTAACATGTTAGGATTTTACTATAGTTTTCATTCCCTCTACCCTAAGGGTCTTATTGTGCTTATATCAGTGCTCAATATAACTTTCCTCGCATTTCCTGAAAATCTGAATTCTGTTTTTTTTTTTTGATAGAACAAATTCCCAAAGCAAGATTGAGATATTCAGGAAATATAGGGAAAGTAAAATGAAATAGAAGCTGTTACATTGTAGAAATACTGAAGGAATCAATAAATACTTATTGAAAAAATAGGTTTTCCTCTTCAGTTAAATAGATTTTGAGTAAGATTTTCTTTTTAAATAGATATTTTGAACAAGTTGTGTTGTTTCTTTGGGCCGATACATAAAATTCTTTCTACTTGCATTAAATTGGAATTACTGTGTCTATGTCATGACAACAATAAGACGTGTGCCATGTATAAAGGATGTTCGCTTTATAGATTACCGAGTATGTTAAATTTTTACTGAACTGTTAGTGGTTGCTACGAGTACTATTTGCAGTTTTTGCTGATCAGTATCCTAATCTTAATGCATCGTTTCTGGTAGAAGTACATGGTACACATTGATAGGAGTTTTGCTCAACTTAACCTTGAGCTTAACTGGCAATTTTTCTCATTTATAAGTTTGCATATCTTAGGACTTAAAAGAAAATTTTATGTAGGGTAACATAGAATATGTGCGTACTTGCTCTCTTTTGATCCCCTCTAGTAAGTAGTTGTAAGCTGACACAATTTCTGTAAATCCTATCTTGGCCAACTATCTCGTTCAGCTCTAAGTGCTGCTAAGCTCCAAATTATCACCTCTTTTTTCTGTTTCTCTATATATATTTATTGTTATTATTATCAAATAGTGAACTATTTAATGTGGTTTTTGTTCGTCATACTACTCTGTAGTTCATTGTTCATGGGGATATATGGTTGTATTGTTGTTGACATGAAGTATCTGTCCACTTAATATGCATTGCTCTAGTAATATCTTTAACTGTATCACCTCTTAGAATTCCTTTAAGGATAGTTGATCACAACTGCTAGTTAAGCTGTTCATTTATAAGTATACTTTTGTGCCTTTAAGTTATTATCTATGTTGTTTACTGTTTAATCTTGATTAGGTATTTGGTTTGGTTTCTGATAATACGTACTCATCTTTTCATTTAAGCTCTTGGATATCACCAGTCTAGAATCTACTTTATTTCTAGTTTCAGCTGGCATCTGACTGCATGATGCCATAAACTACAGATGAAAATCCTACTTACAAATATGCCATTTGCATTCTTTATCTGCAGTATGTAATAATGGGAATGCATTTGATTTTGGGTCATCTGACCCATTCTGTCATTTTGGACTGGCCTTTTGGACTCCTAGTGAAACTTTTGTTGTTGTTCGCACTTTGCCATTATGACTGTTTAAGTTGCTCTTATTATGTTACTGTCTTTCAATTCTATCTGAAGTTTTAGTTCTTTTATTGGCAGATCCAGGTGAATGATCTAATGGAGTCTAAAGGTGGTAAGAAGTCTAGTAGTAAATCCTTACTCTACGAAGCACCCCTTGGCTACAGTATTGAAGACGTTCGACCAAACGGTGGAATCAAGAAGTTCAGATCTGCTGCTTACTCCAACGTAAGTATCTGGATTTCTTTTGTTTTGGATATGAACCTTAGAAAATGAGCTTTAAGAATTTTATAATTCTGATCACTTGCAACTTTTTTATTTTTGTATATGTGCAGTGCGCTCGCAAACCCTCCTGACATTCCTTAAGTTTCTCTCCTGCACGTGTCTCCTGGCACAAAAAAGAAAAAATCCCAAAAAAAATTCCTTCTGTCAATTGTTTTTGTTGTTAAACCCTCACTCCTTTTCCTCACTTTCTTCCTTCTTCTGCTGCTTTCTGCTCTTGCTCTCCTTGGCTGTGAGCTATTTCCTTTAAAAGATCGTTTGTTGCTGTGAACATATTTTCATCATGGAAGTGGCATTACCAGCTTCTGCCATAGGCTTTGAAGGTTATGAGAAGAGGCTTGAAATTTCATTTGTTGAACCTGGCCTTTTTGCTGATCCTGAAGGAAAAGGACTTCGATCACTGTCAAAAGCACAATTGGATGAGATTCTAGGACCTGCTGAGTGCACCATAGTTGATTCTCTTTCTAATGAGTGTGTTGACTCCTATGTCCTCTCTGAGTCGAGCCTTTTCATTTATTCTTACAAGATAATCATCAAGACCTGTGGTACCACAAAATTGCTTCTCTCAATTCCTGCCATCCTGAAGTTGGCTGATACCCTTTCACTTGAAGTACAAGCTGTGAAGTATACCCGTGGGAGTTTCATTTTCCCTGGGGCTCAGTCGTTTCCTCATCGTCACTTCTCTGAAGAAGTTGCTGTTCTTGATAGCTACTTTGGAAAGCTTACTTCAGGCAGCAAAGCTGTGATTTTGGGCAGTCCTGATAAACTTCAAAAATGGCATGTTTACTCTGCCTCGGCTGGACCTACTCAGTCTAAGAACCCTGTGTACACTCTTGAGATGTGCATGACTAGTTTGGATAGGGAGAAGGCTTCTATATTTTACAAGACCGAATCTAGCTCGGCAGCTCAAATGACTATTAGATCCGGCATAAGGAAGATCCTTCCCAACTCTGATATATGCGATTTTGAGTTTGATCCTTGTGGTTACTCCATGAATTCTATTGAAGGAGCTGCACTTTCTACTATTCATGTTACACCTGAAGATGGTTTTAGTTATGCTAGCTTTGAAGCAGTTGGATATGATTTTAAATCCTCGAGTCTGGGGTCGCTGGTTAAGAGGGTGCTGGCATGTTTCCAGCCTGATGAATTTTCTATTGCTTTGCATGCTGATGTTGCTCTTGAGCTACTGAAGCATACATGCTCTCTTGATGTTAAGGGCTACTCTCTTGCTGAGTGGAGCCCAGAAGAACTTGGTAAGAGTGGTTCTATTGTCTACCAGAAGTTTGCTAGGAGTTCCTTCTGTGGGTCTCCAAAGTCTGTTCTGCAGAACTGCTGGAAAGAGGAAGAGAAAGAAGAAAAGGAGTGGTGTTGAGGGTCTTTTAGTTCAATTACCGGTGTCGTTTCTGGATGTTTTCTGGTGTTTAGTTGTGGTGTTGATCCTTGTTTTTCCAAACAATGGACTTTATGTCCTGGTTTTCTGTCGTTGAATTAGTAATGAGAATTGTGCTAAGTTTGGCTTTTTGGTTCTCTACTAGAAGCCCTATTGCTTGTATTTTGGATTATTACCTCATTTGATTGTTCTGAGTCCACCTACTTAAAAATGTGATTTTTGTTCTTTAGTTGGCATTTTTTCTTCCTGGATTTGCAACCTACCTTGTTTTACCTTTTGTTGTAGCGCTGGCCACTAGCTACCACAGCTTTGCTGTATAAAAGAGATGTCAACTAGTGCCTAAAGGCAAAGAAAAGATGTATTAAGTTGTACAACATCTAGCTTCATCCCAACACTAGTACAACTGCTTATACATTTTCATGGAACTTGGATGTACTGTACACCGAGAACAGAATACTCCTGTCAGGATGGCTTTCTTCAAGTCATGTATGTCTTAGCACAAAAAGGTGATGGTTAAAGCTGCAATATACCATTGTTGTAAAAGTCTCTGTTATTTCCCTCTATAACGGCTTTCTAAAGCTCGTGTAAGTCTCATCCTACTGCCTATTAGACTTAGAACTTGTATAGCAAATGCCCTCCTGGTAAGAGAAAGATGAGCTAGACTGCTTATTTCTTCAACTGAACGCATCTGCCACCACCTTGGCTGTGCCTTGATGACAATGAATGGTGCAATCGTAGTCAACACAGTGGCTATACTACAGAATCCCTCCGTCAAATACCTGGCTAAACCCAAGAAACTGTGTATTTCTATAGCAGTAGGGAGTTTAGGCTATTTCTAAACTGCCTCGATACACACTAGTGCTTATTAACCAGTCCATCTATAGTTTCCCCCTTGATTAGTTTTTTTTACATAGACACAATAGAGACATTCTTTTTAATAGTGTGACTTGTAGTATTTGGCATTTATATTCATGATTGTGGTTTAATGATTTACTCTGAACTCTTAATAAATTTAACATATTTTTGATTCACAATACATAATTCCTTTTTTACACACTGCTGTAAAAGTTTAACCATTTACTATAGTCTTTTTATTCATCAGTAGCCCTTTGCTTAACACTTTAAAGCCATAATAAAATTGATCTCAACATCCCATAATTGACCCTTAACATCCATTCAAGCAGTCATACACTATATTTATAGTAGTATCTAGGAATCATTCATTTATTCACCATGGATTTTAGCATGTATAATAATGCTTATTAACCAGTGCAATTTCCCCCTTGATTACTTCCTTTAAATACACAATTTCACAAACACATACAAAGCCTCTCATATTTTTAGTTCAAACTATAGGAAAATAAGCCAGTGAGAGCAATTTGCACTTTAGATTCGCCTAATCCATTGAATAAATCAGGGACCAGAGAGTTAGATATTTGGTGCAGCCACCATCTCAATATTGTAAAAGGACAGTAAACTCGAGAAGGCAAATACTCCCATAGCCACTGCGATTGAAAATACAGCCAGCTTTCGACAATACAAGGCTACTTTGGGCTGTTTTTCTCGCATAGATTCCGACATCATAGACCCTGTGAATGCAAATAACAGTGAAAACATAAATGCATGAAAAACAGCAGGCTTTCTCGTGAATACTATAGTTGGTACTAGGTTGCCATCTATTCTCTCCAATGGAAGTTGTAGAAGTGCAAGAACTGTCAGATATGCAATTCTGAATATGGCATCTTTTGTGGCTGTGGAAAATTCATCTTTGCCACTAAATGGTCGCTTTGTTGAATCATCACTTGTTACCTTCATAAGAACTTACTGTGAAGAAGTTTTTGTTAGGAATCGGTGTATTATGACTTATGCTGTTGCACTTTTATTAGGGGGGAACTGCATTGATCTTATATATTGGAAATCAAGAACAAAAAGTGAAAAAACGCGTAAATAGGGGAGGCCCGGAGAAAAGAGTAGTGTGTTTCTCGGTACTTTCTCAGTCACATCTCAAAATTAGTGATCAACTTAAATGAACGCTTGGAAATTTCCCTGAAATTTTCCATCAAAAGAAGTACATAGTTCTATTGTTTGTCTTCCTATAATTATTTTGGTATCCGGAATTCACTATCCCGACTAATTATTTTTTAATTACCAAACCAAACCAAACCAACAAATTCAGATTTTTCAATCTCGGTTTTCTTGGGTTTTTCGGATTTTTTTCCGATAAAGTCTTCATAGCACAAAATATGTAACTTGTGCACCAAATATTTCTTTAGTCCTAGTAAGAAACAACTATATAATGTACTTTTCAAGAAAATAATACAATAATATGAGAAAACTCATAGCATTATACTAAAATATTCAATAACAAAGATAATAAAATTGCATAAAGCAAGTATTGCTAATTAATAAGCCATAATAAAAATTAACATAATCTAAAAATGTAGGTCATGCTAAAACAAGTATAGCTAATAAGTACTATTAATTACATAAGTAAGACTAAAGAACAAGATAAACTGAGTTATGCATTTTCATTATAAAGCAATGTAAAACTAAAAATAGACATCCAACAATATCATCATTTCTAGTTTAAGAAATATTTATAAATTATATTATAAATATAAAATATTTTTAAAAATTATATAAATGTACTATCGAGTTGGTTTGGTTTCGATTTGATTTTTTTTTAAGTTAAAACCGAACCAAACCAATTATAGTCAGTTTTTTTTTTCCAATACCAAACTCAATCAAACCAAACCACAATCGGATTTTTTTTTTTCCAGTTTGACTCAGATTGTCGGTTTGGTGCGATTTATCAGTTGTCTTTGTACACCCATATAATATCCATTTTATATGATGTAGTAATTGACTTCACAAAATGTTTAAGTTTTAGTTAAAAGTTTGCGCTTTGGGGTTTGGACAGTATTTTCTTGTAGTTGAAAAACAAGTATTTGATAGTAAAAAAATATTAAAATAATTGTTAACGAGTTCATTTAACGTAGAATTAAATATCACGTTAAACTTTAAAATTTGAACAGCATGATGAACTTGAATTGTTCAAACTATAAAAGTTGTACTGAAATAAAATAGTGTCTTATATTTTAAAATGTCTAAAGAAGAAAAAAATTACAAATAAATTGGGACGTAAGAAATACAGTATTTGAAATTTAAGCATATTCAATTTATAGTTTTGCAGATAGACATCATCAGATATTTCAAAAAACATAAATAGACAAAATTTAAGAAAACTTTTCACAAACGTAGCAGCAATAGGTATTTTACATACAAGGCAACTAAATAATTATATTCCTAGCAGAAAGCTTTATACCCTTACCTACAATCACGCTATGAAGTGTTCATTTCCTTAAATATAAAACCAAAAGGTTTTAGTTTCCATCTAATAATAAAATTATTATTAATTATGATTTTATTGGTACTTTCTATTTGGTGGTATAACTATATTTTATTGATAAATGTGAATGCTTGTATAATAGTGCATACTTGGATGAATAAGTGATATTTATAATATTTAGATATTATACAAATTATATAATTTGTATAATACATTAATATTTATTTAATAAGTATATTATGAAGTATTAAATTAAATATTATTAGTATAAAATATTATTTTATTTGGATATACATAGTATATAATTCTTTTTCTCAATATGATAAATATATATGATGTATATTCGGAATATTAAATTTTATAATACAAAACATACCACATATTTATTGTATAAAAATATTATATATTAAGAGCACATTGTAGTTGTTTAAATATTATATAGTATTACTATTATATATGAAGTATAAAAATGACTCACGCATGCTTCACGTTTAAAGCTGTTCATTTTATTTAGTGATTGAATTTTGTGGAAGGGAGAGAAAATAGTGAAAAGGAAGAGAAAATCGTGGCATAAAGGATTCTTAAATTATTATGATAAATTTATACTAAAAAAATAACATAAATCTTTAAATTTATTTTAGAAAGATACGATGAATCTGTAACTGTTATATTCAAATGTAATAGAATATAAAATTATTAAATTAAAAAAACGTGGTTATACAATATACATTTTATAAATATTTACTAAATTTAAGTTACATTACTTCATACATGCTTATAGATCTAAATGTCTAAACAATTAAAAAATATTAAACTCCAAAAAAGTTGAATTTTTCATATTTTCATTACCATATAGATAAGATAGAAACATTTAATAAGGAAGAAGGGAATAAAATAAATCCCTGATTTAGTAAGATCTATTTATTTTCTTAACTTGCCAAAATAGTAAAAAAATCTTTCATTATTGAAATAAACTACAATTGGTGTTATTTATATAAATAGTCTTAAATAAGAAACCTATCATGTAAAAAATTTTATTTTGGAGTTTTGAGCTTAGAAGTCGTATGTACAACAACTGGTTTACGTTGATTTTTGTGTAACATTTGTGACAATTTTGATAAAGAGTGTTGTTTACGGGGGCGGCTCAAGTACATGCGGGGCCTAACGTCAAAATTTAATATGAGGCCTAAATTTTTAAAAGAAAGTTATAAGATATATCTTTATTTGAAATCTATTCTTCTAACTTTTTGAGATATAAAATTGTTAATAATCCTTTTTATAATCAATTATTTTCTAATTATTTTTTTTTCAATTGATATTATCGCCAACTCGTTTGGTCTTTCTTGAGATATTGTTGATTTTAGGTAAGATATTATAGAACAATAGAAGTATAGAACTATTGGAAGCTTAAAAGTATTGTTGAACACTTAAACCAATAAAATCTTGGAGAAAGAATGTGCGTAAGAAATATTAAAGAGAAAGACAAAATATGTAGAGGTTTTTGAAATATGAGAAGATTGGAAAAAGAAAGATTGACTTGAACAAATTAAGAAGGGGGAGTAAAAATTTTAGGCTTTATCTAATGAAGGCGTAAAAAGTAAAAACTTAGAACGTTGGAAAAATTATTCATCTAACCATTTTTAAGTAAGTCAAATTATTATTGTATTCATATATATAAAGAGTTTTCTTTCCTTTTATATTAAAAACTCTACTTTTGTATTAGAAGTACCAAAATATTATTTTTAAATACCTATAAACCTATTATTTTTTAAAAAATAGGGCCCCCAAATTTGGGAGCCTAAGGCATAAGCCTTACCACTTATGACGTTAGAGCCGGCCTTGGTTGTTAATTGAACAACATTAACAACATTTCCTTTTTT